CTAGGTTCTGCAGTCACTTCCCGAATCATATAATGAGTTCAAAAGAAAGTATTATATGATGGATCATGACGAAAACCTCATTGACCTAACTTACATGCTCATTGCTGCTGAATCAGAAATGATTTGGCAAAGCAATGGAGCGTATTTGTTGGGAAAGTCAACCAACCATGCTTCCGAGGACGTTCTAGGAGAACCGACCTGCGTTTGCTGCCAAGAGAAAGGGCGTTGGATACAAGTCTGCCCTAAGAGCCTGAAGAGTCCAGAAGATGGGAGAGTCAAATAGTATGGCTGTGCTTCAGGTAAAATCCACTATCTAACTCCATTAAGTTCCTATTCATTGATTCTTAATACATAATGTGATAAGATTGCATTTGAATGTTTTGCAGGATCAGTGAAAAGAGAGGAGGCTTGATGGAAAAGCAAGATGAGTCTGATCGCAAAGAAATGGATCTCGATCGCATGGACTTGAAGATTAGATTTTGAGCTTAGAAAGTTATGATAAGTTGTTAGGAATATTTATTACATAGTTTTTCAATTGATTTTGCATTGTAAGGACAAAATGTTTTCCGCTGCTTTATGAATAAAATAAATTTTGATTTGACTCATTTATTTATTTATTTATTTATTTCCTTGCAATAAAATCGTTATGAAAAATTGATGTTTGCATATTTCTACAACGAATGGATGTGATTCTTATTATGATAATTGTGAAATGTCGAGAATTTGCCAAATAGGGAGAGTTTCTCATCGCCCAAGTTTCAATTGGACAGAAATTTGGAATCACGCAACTTGGTTGCATGATGAATGAGAAATTTCATATTTGGAAATTAGACTAATTCGTTGACAAAGTGTCAAGTGAAGGACTAGGAGATCGAGTACACAAAGTTGTGTGTTGATCAAGTCCACCACAAGAGTAACAAAGATATTCGTCATGATTTACCAAAGTTTAGTAAATATGATTATACTTATAAGATTAAGTGTAATTCTGAATTGATTGAAAGAGTTTAAATCAATAGCAGAACGAATAAGAAGAATCAAGTAGGCAGAAAGATAAAAGTTTCTCTATTCTAAGAAGAAGGGAGAGTACCTTTTATTATGTTTTATGATAGGTCTTAATGATTAAGAACCATATCTCAATTGATCCTCTAAGTAAATCTTAGTACAATTGTATGTCTAAGAAGAGGAATTAAGAATTGAAGAAATGGTTAAATCAAGAAGTCAATCATACTTCGTTCCAAAACAAGTCTTAGAATTAAGATTATGACATTGAGTGACAAGTCTCAAGAAGGTTTATAACATTCATCAAGTGTAGAATTTGGAAAAAAAGATTTTCTTATTTTCGTACATTTGAAATTGGAAAGTTGTGATGTCTTGGATAAGACAAAGACCAACTAGGACCAATTTTATGAAATGTTTTGTCTTGATAAAAGCTACACTAACTCTTGAATATTTATTTTGTCAAGAAATGTTTATTGACAAGAAAATATTATATGTCAAGGAGTCAGTGGGAGTCTTAATGGTCTTGAAAAGATTCAAGAACTAATCAAGAATAAACCTTATCGATCATCACTAGCACACGAGTAGAGGTTTACAACCTATCGTGTTGACATTATCTTGTTTCTGTGTCGTTCCAATCGAGTTAATTATGCATGTTAGTTCTATGAGTTCTCATTTGAACGCATAAAAGGCAAGCACCTTGATCAATGGAAAGTACATTGATTGGAAAGGGTGAGCTGCTTAACTACTTGGAAGACATGGTGGGCAGCCGTGTTACCATAAGGCAAGAAATCAAGATTGAGAAAGTTCGGTCCATATGAGTTTGAATTTGTCGCAAACCTTGGTTTTGACAAATTCACATGGATATAAACGCATACACCATTAAAATCTAAGTGTGATAAGATTCCCTCCTTCATGAAAATGATTGTGAGGAAATGCTTTCACTAAAAAAGATTTTAAGAAGATAGTGATTGTGAAAATTGTATTCTCGAATTCGATTATGGTTACGGTATCCCTTTCCATGATTCGAATTGTGAGATTTGGCAATTAGTCTTAATTGTTTAGACACACATATGAGCTATCTAAAGGAAAGGTGTATAAGCTTAGATAAAGGATTGTCAAAGCATTAGGTATTAGAAACATGAACTTAAGAAATTCAATAGGTATTGTTTTTCTGAAAGTTAAGCTGTTTCTGAATACATGTCAAAGCTAGTAGGAGCATAAGTGTTATGTTTATAATAATCATCGTGATAGTGGGAGCATAAATGTTATGATTGTATGATTATTAAGGTAAGTATTGCAAGATAGCAATATTAATTATAGAAAACAAGAGTCCTACTTTGCAAAGTTGTAAGGATGTAAAGTTGTTTTGCTATAATTAAGGGAGAGAATATTATGCTTCATTTCAAATCTAAAAGCTTAGGTTGTGGAATGTTAATAAATTTAGTCAAGGATACATAGCACGTTCTTAAATTTCGATTATGATTACGGCATTCCTCTTCATATTTTGAATTGTGAGAACGTAGCACATAAAAATATCATGGCAGAAGATTGATAAAGTATCAATTCTTCATGTAAGACATTATGCATCGTGTCCCATACGCTTCGGGTATATGAATGATTGCAAATGTTATAATATTTGACCATTCTAAAATTTTCCAAATGTCTAGCGCATTTAGAGGGAAAAGGACAAGAATCAGTTTTGACTAAGATAATTAAACAACTATCAAAGGACAATCCAAAGTTCGCCGAGGATTGGTCGCTTGTGAGTAGTTGGAAGTATAGTATTGGATGGACCATATCGACATTATTATGAATAGAAAAGATTCTATTAAGAATGAGTTGTCATATGGAAAATATGGAAACGTTTCCATATTGGGAGTTAGATATTGAGAATCTATGTCTAGATTAGAAACTTTTATGCAAAAGGATGTTCAAAGGAATGTACCTTGAGTGAGAGACATCACATCTATGGAATTGTCTTGTAACAATCTCCGATAGAGGAATTTGTAATATCATTGGCAATAGTCATTGTGACTTTAGTGCAATGACATTACAAAAGGATCATTGCATAAAATGTTAGAATCTAGCATATTCTATAAGTGACAAGAATTTGATATTCTTTCACTTGTGATAAGGATTGGGAGTTGTGAAATGAGTATGATTGGAAAGGTGTTCATTTGATCTATTTCACAAAGTAAGGACCATAGGTTAGCATTGTGTGCATTCTAAGAGCATGGGACAAGTGTGGTAAGTAATTCAAGTCAGAAGTTGATTACCCGAAACGACAAATAATGAGTAATCGATATGGTGATAAATAAAAGGTGTTTTATTTATACTCAAAGGTTGAGGCCATATGGGATTAGTATTATTCTTGTGTTTCACTTTGCATGTTTTGACTTCCTGAATAATTTAATTGGTTAAGAACAGTCAAATTATTCGAACGGGCCACAGTCGTTCATATGTTGGAAGTAGGTATGAATGAAGACTATCGTGAATTGGTGTGTGGATTGTCTAAAGAGCATTAGACATAAGCAAATGTTTGCTGCAACGTTCATGAGTGCTTATGAATATGATTTGATCATTGGATTAAACCCACGCTCACTTGGATCACTTCATGGATTTTATCATGAGTGATTGGTGAGACGATAATATCTTATATTCTTGAAACCGAGATGTGTGAGTTGTATCTTGCGAGTCGGTTGCACATTGATAATATGTAAACGCACCAGTAACTTGGTGTTATAAAACATATTGTTGTGTGTGATTTGGTGAGTGAGTGCAAGCGAGCATTGAGTCAAAGTTTATCCGTTCCTTTTATCCAAAGTAGGATAAAAGCGATATCTGTGGGCCCCTCGATGATTTAGTGATGGCACCTAAGCGCTTGGCCAAGCCGGGACTAAATTGATGTGTTCAATTGTAGTCTGTTGTCAGTCGTCATAAATCTGAATTCGGGAAACAGCACATAGACAGAGAGAATGATTTAGATCCATGTCTCAGTCTATACGATATCTAGAATGGAGGAATATATGATCCCTTATCTAAAGGACACGCGTATCTGATAAGATCAGAGTTGACAGCGGCTTTAGAAAGCTACGATTGCAGATCAGGATCTGAAGTCATACGCGGAATAGTTATTAGGCTTATCCAAGTGGGAGACTGTTGGATTAGTGTCTAAGTCCATAACTATTTTGGTATGTACTTGACCCGATGGTGCATGGTCCTTTTGGGTTGCCTTCACCAAAGCAACTTGATAGGATGAATTATGGAGAGAAAGGATTAATTATGATTTATTAATATATTATGAGAATAATATATTAAAGGAGAAATCATATTGTTTAATTAATATTAGTCAAGAATTAATAAGAATTAAGTTTGTGGCTAAAAGACATTAATTAAACTTAAGGGACTAGAACTGTCAATTGTGTGATAGTTGAATATTGGGCTAATGGACTCCATATTAAAGGGGTGGACGAAGTCTATGGGGAAACCCATTAGAAATCGTCCAAAGGCCTTTAAGAAAGGGGTTCATGGGTTGCTTAGGGCCTAAGCATCCAAATTAGGGTTTCCTTGTTAGATAACCCTAATAGCCTCACTATTTAAAGAACCCTTAAGCCCCAAAAACGTGGTGAACTAATTAGTTAGGGTTTCCACACGTTTTGGGCAGCCTCCTTCTCTTCTCTTCTTCATCCTCTTGCTCTTGGTGTTTGTGAGCCATTAGAGGAGTGACATTTGTGACTTTAAGCTTTCTAAAGTCAATACAAGAAGGATTTGAGATTGTTATTACTACATAACAATCAAGGTATGATCTAAACCCTAATTCATATGTTATATTGATTAGATCTAGGGTTTAAAGTCTTGGATGAATTGCATGTACAATAGAGAAACCTAGATCCAAACATTAGGGTTTGCATGAGCACATAGGATGTTCTTATGGCTAAAACCCATAAGATATTCCCAAAACCGCTTTCCGAACTCGTTACGGACATTATGAATTTGTCGTAATGCCCTTCAGTCTAACGAATGCCCCTGCCGCATTCACGGACCTAATGAATCGAATCTGCCGACCATTCCTCGACAACTTTGTTATTGTTTTCATTGACGACATTCTAGTTTATTCTCGAAGCAAAGAAGAGCATGGCCAACATCTCCGAAAAATCCTGGGAACCCTGCGAACTGAGAAGCTATACGCAAAACTCTCCAAGTGTGAGTTCTGGCTCCGTAGCGTGAACTTTTTGGGTCATGTTGTTAGTCAGGAAGGAATACATGTGGATCCTTCTAAGGTCAAAGCCATCGAAGGATGGGCAGTCCCAGCAACACCCACAGAAATTCGCCAATTCTTAGGTCTAGCAGGTTACTACAGGAGGTTCATTCAAAACTTCTCTAAGACTGCCAAGCCACTTACCTCGCTTACACAAAAGGGTGTACCCTTCAAATGGACGGACAAACAAGAAGCTGCATTCCGAACTCTGAAGCAAGCACTCTGCAGTGCCCCGGTACTATCACTACCAGAGAGAACGGAAGATTTTGTAGTCTACTGTGACGCGTCAAATCAGGGTTTAGGTTGCGCTCTCATGCAGCGTGGAAAGGTGATAGCTTACGCGTCCCGGCAACTAAAGACACACGAAGTAAATTATACAACCCACGATCTGGAATTGGGAGCAGTGGTTTTCGCCCTGAAGATTTGGAGGCACTACCTTTATGGTACGAAGTGCACCATCTTCACGGACCACAAGAGTCTCCAGCACATCTTGAATCAAAAAGAGCTGAATATGAGGCAACGAAGATGGGTTGAACTATTAAACGATTATAAGTGTGAAATCAAGTACCACCCAGGCAAGGCTAACATGGTAGCTGATGCCTTGAGTCGGAAAGAGTACTCTAATCGTCGTGTGAAAACTCTCTCAATAACCATCCAATCACACCTAACAACTCAGATCAGGGCAGCCCAGTCAGATGCCATAAACGCGGAAAACAGAACAAGCGAAGCGTTACGCGGAATGGAGAAGAATCTCGAGGTGAAAGAGGGTGGAGTATATTATTTCATGAACCGTATTTGGGTCCCTAAACTTGGAGGATTTAGGGAGGTAGTCATGAATGAAGCTCACAAGTCGCGATACTCCATCCATCCGGGTTCGGACAAAATGTACTTGAATATTAAACAACATTATTGGTGGCCTAACATGAAGGCAGAGATTGCCACCTATGTTAGCAAATGCCTTACTTGCGCCAAAGTAAAGGTGGAATACCAGAAGCCCTCGGGGTTATTACAGCAACCAGTAATTCCCGAGTGGAAATAGGAAAGGATTACTATGGATTTTGTGACCAAGCTACCCAAGTCGTCAGATGGATTGGACACTATATGGGTAATAGTCGACAGACTGACGAAATCCGCTCATTTCTTGCCAATAAAAGAATCCTACAAGATGGAGAGATTGAAAAGAATATACATTCAAGAAATCGTGAGACTTCACGGAGTGCCAGTGTCTATCATCTCAGATAGAGATAGTAGATTCACTTCACGTTTCTGGAAATCACTTCAGAAAGCACTGGGAACCCATCTCGACATGAGCACTGCTTATCACCCACAAACGGATGGTCAAAGCGAACGAACCATTCAGACGCTTGAATACATGCTTCGCGCATGTGTGATAGACTTTCGGAAGTCCTGGGATACCCACTTACCCTTAGTTGAATTATCGTACAACAACAGTTACCATTCGAGCATCAAAGTTGCTCCTTTCGAGGCACTGTATGGACGTAAGTGTAGATCACCTTTGTGTTAGGCTGAGGTAGGCGACACCCAGCTAGCGAGAGAACTGACATCAGACAAGACGTTAACGGGACCGGAGATCATACGTGAAACTACGGAAAAGATAGTTCAAATCAAAGCTCGACTACAAGCATCACGCGGCCGACAGAAGAGCTACGCTGATAAACGGCGAAAGCCCTTGGAGTTTCAGGTGGGATCGAGTGCTGTTAAAAGTTTCTCCCTGGAAAGGAGTTATTCGATTTGTAAAGCAGGGCAAATTTAATCCACGATACATTGGACCTTTCGAGATTCTTGCCCGAATTGGTCCAGTGGCGTACAGACTGCAGCTACCCGCTGAGCTCAGCAGCGTACACCCCGTGTTCCATGTTTCCAATCTAAAGAAGTGCCTATCCGATGAAAATCTCGTCATTCCCCTAGATGAAATTGAAATCAACGAGAATCTCCTGTTCGTTGAGGAACCAGTCGAAATCATGGACGGGGAGGTGAAGCGTACCAAGCAAAGTCGCATTCCGATTGTGAAGGTACGGTGGAACGCGAAACGCGGGCCAGAATTCACATGGGAACGCGAAGATCAAATGAAGCAGAAGTACCCTCATCTATTCTCGCATTCTCAAATCTAGCTTTCAAAAGAATTTCGGGACGAAATTCCCTCTAACGGGGGGATGATGTCACAACTAGGAAATTCGATGCCTTGTAAACATTTAACAATGATAACAAATGGGAACCAAAAATGTGAAAGCAGGCATGATGCTTATTATATAACAACAAAACCTCATCAAATAATTCATTATAGCACTACAAATGGTCAACAAAGAATTGGAAACCTTTGAAATCCCAGTTTAAGTCCATTTTGGACTAGGATTTCCTTATTGGGCCTAGTGGACTAATAAATTTCCAATTTGTCTATCTTGAACCTAGAACTCTCTAATGGGCCCTAATTGGACTCATATACATGAAACATTATATTTTGGGCCTTAATGGGCTGACCAAACTTAGCCCTAATGAGTCATAAAGGTTACACCTTGATTTATTTGTGCCAAGCACTATCTAAATTTTCTATAATGTGGGCTTAAGGGCAAAAAGCCCAAAACTTCTTCTTTTTACTCCTCTCTCTTGACCCAAAACTTCAAACCCAAGAAGAAAAGGGTTGACTTTAGGAGGTGCCACCTCCTTATTACACACCATGCACCCATGCATGGACTAGCATGTATCTAGGCAGGTCACCTCATCTTTTCTCTTCCCCTCTCTCTTCTTCCTTCGGCCGAGAACACACCACACACCCTCACCCTCTTCCAAATTCTCTCAAACTCTCACTAGAACATCCTTACACTCTCCCTCTAAAATTTCGAGAATCACAAGGGTTACAAGGAAATCTTTTCTTAATATCACAAATCTAAGGTAAGTTGTTGTTTGATCCATGCTTTAACTCACTTCTTTTCATCAAAAATCATCTCTTACTCCATTCAAATTCATGATCTTGCATCTTAGAAACCACTAAGTTCGAGATCCATCCAAGAAACTTGCTAGGGCCGAAAATAGCACCAAACTTCTCCCAATCTTCTTCAAAACTGAAACCACAACTCAAGGTGAGCTTCATACCCCTCTCTTTTCGGTTTTCATGTGTTTTATGGGGGAGAATACAAGAAAATGTATAGATCTATGTGTATGTGTATGCTATGTGTGATTTTATGCATGTATGTGTGTGATTTCATGTATGTTTGTGATGAATATGTTACCAAAAGGGGTGTAAACCCGAGATCTATGACATGAGAAAGGAAAAAAAAACATAATCTAAGCTATTTTACACTAAACAAGTCAAGAATAATAGCTTATAAGGTTATGATGAACATATTCTAACATAAAACCCATTTTAGGGCTTAAATTGTCAAAAATACAAAACTTGGGTTACAAATCGACAAGTCACGGTTTCTTGAGGGTCAAAAGGGTCAAAACAGTTTCTATAATCATTTTTCTGAATAATAAAATTTTCGAGGGACTTAAAATGTAAATTTTTAGCTTAATGGGCTAATTTTGGGCTTTTCGGCCCAATAAGCCACAAAATGCGAAAAATGATAAATTTAAGGGGCTGAAATGAAACTTTCTGTAAAACAGGGGGTAATTAGCATAACAAAATCATTTTAAGAGCCAAAAATGCTATTCACTATCAAAAAGGACCAAAAATGTAAAGTCTTTAGATTTTGGGCCAAAACTGTAAAAGTTGTGAAAAATGGGGTTCTAACCGAGAAACACCATTTTTGGAAGGGATGAAGCTGTCAACAAAATAAATTTTGGGTTAAAACTGTGTTTTCATCAAATAAATGATACAAAAGTGTCAAGAAAATGTTTTAAGGACTAAAAATGAAATTCTTTTATATAAAAGGACCAAAAGTGTTATTTTTATAAAAGAAAGGTAGTGACAAGGTCAAGTTCTACTTTTAAACAAATTAATTCATTAAGACAAAATACAAGATCCACGACTACCGACAAGACGGAAAACGAACACACATTCAACAACAAATATCGTATAAACGAATTGATTCGGTCTCGAATCAATACAAAACAAAATCGTTAAACCAAAGCACTTCAATAAATATGCGATAACTACGATGAGCAAACTTACAAACTTTGGGCTGAAAGTTTCAAATCATGCTTGTTGGGCCTTGCTAGCCCATTAACATGATCTTTGGGCCCAAAGGGAATATGCTTATGTGTTATTGGGCCTCCTATGACCCGATTTCATGTAAAAGGACTTTTAATGGCTCTAATGTGCTATTGGGCCCTAGTGGCCCATTAGTATTGCTAGTAAGGTCAAGAAGTCAAATGCGAGTTGGGCCAACATGTCTTTCGCATCCCCGACAGCCTAAAATAACTCACGGAAATAATGGGACTTCGTACTCTCCTTTTTCCTCGTTTGTTAGGCTTATGAGAAATCAAAGTCAACAGATTCAGGACGTTAATCAAGAGTAACCATGGTCGTTGGATTAAGTGAGTAGTAACGGGCGACGCCTTTAAGGATCGTTCGTAATTTGTAATTATAAACTGGTCATTTTCTAATACGTGATTATAACAACTCACAAACCCTAATTAATCCAATGCCACCCGAGTAATCAAAATCATTCGTCGTGATGGTATAACAATTGAGAAATCACTGTATTTTATGTAATGGGAAAACATCGGGTTTTCCTGGGAAGTTCAACATTTTCACTTGCGCGATCATTATAAAAGTTCAACAATTATACATGTTTTGAAAATCAACAAGCATATATTTACGGATCTTCACACCTTTTTTTTTATATTGATCTTTTCAGAAAATATCGGATTTTCTGGGTTTTACAAACTACACCAAATCATTTTATCACAACATTGCTTATGAACTCACCAACATTTCATATGTTGACGTTTTTCAAATTAACTTGTATTCTCAGGTAACAGGTAAACCGAAGAATAAGTACCAAGTAATGTCAGGGTGTTTTGCTTATGATATCTATTAGAAAATTTATGTTATGAATTTGTAATGTTTAAAACAATGTACTGGATGTAAACAATATCAGTTGTATTATTTTAATGCATGGTGATGATTTATGTTATGATTCATGTATATATTCATTGTGATGGTATTCAATTTAAGTCGCAAGAGCCCTCGGACGTTTCCGCCGTCTGGTTTGGAGGTGTGACAATTACCTTACTGCCGGCCCTGCCATCGCTTTCTACCGCCACTAGTCACCGAGAAGGGTGGCTGTGTGTGTGTGTGTTCTGTGTGCGTGTGCTGCTATGTGTTTAGGTGTGTGTTGGCGTATTGTGTTGTATGTGTGTTTTGTCTAGCCAAAAAACCAAGAAAACCACCGCCACCACCGTGAGGTGGTCGCTGCCGCCATGTACCACCACCGGCCACCGCAAGGGTGGTTGTGTGTGTGTGTGTTTATATTAGTTAGTGTGTACGTTTATTTTTAGATTAAAGCATTGTAATTGTAATTAGCAAAAAGAATAATGAAAAGAACCATAACCACCACCGTGACGTGATGGTCGCCGCCGTGAGCAACCATTGACCACCACTACCCTAATGGGCTTAAAGATTTAGTTTTGGGCATATTGGGCTATGATTGGGTGGGAAACCCTAATTAGGATTTTGAAAGGGCCTTGGACTTATTGGGACCCACATTTGGGCATTGGAATGGAATTGTGAATTACACCCAATCACACCATATGATTTATCTAGTAGTGTGACATCCCAATTTCACGGCCAGAAAAGACCGATTTGTTTACGCTTTGTTTTAAAATAAGAGTAATCGTTTAAAGAAAACTGTTGTGGAATTTGTTCCCAAAACAAAATATGATAAGAATTTATCAAAGCATTTCTTAAAGAATGTATTTTCATTATATAAAAAAATCTCGGGATGTCATGTTCCGATACAGACCAAAAGCATAAACAAAACAAAATAGACCTTACAACAGTTATTTATAACTATTGGCCTATAATCCAAAATCTCTCGTTATATCAGCCAATTTATGCTCTTGCCACAACCTGTAATACAAAGAAAACTAAGTGGGTCAGGCTTGGGAGCCTGGTTCATCAACCCACAATAATATAATTATTATGTTTAAACATCAAACAATCAACCCAATTATCCATCCCCATTATCTTCCTTATTTCTTAAGGTTTTACCCTAAGAATCAACTATCATTCATTCATTCATTCCTAAGGATTGACCTAAGGAATTGGCACAAAATCCATTGTTGCCCGAGGTTCATCTACACAGTACTAAATCCATATCTACCGAGGTTCATCTACACAATATTAAATCCATAGCTACCGAGGTTCATCTATACAGTACTAAATCCATAGCTACCAAGGTTCATCTATACAGTACTGTAACAGCCCAAAATCCAGGTACCCTTTTATTTAGCCCTTCATCTTTAATTGTTGTCATAGTAGGGCTTTTATGTTGGGCGAGTACGTTGGGCGTACAAGGAGTACGCTGCGCGTACTTGCGCGCTTCATTTATACGCATCCCCCTCGGGTACATTGGGCGTACCCAAGGTTACGCTGGGCGTAACCGGTCCAGACCCAAAAACCCTAATTTTTGGTGATTGGCTATAAAAGGAATGAGATGGCTTGACTCCTCAGCCACCATCCCTCAGAAAGAAACCCTAAGAGAGTGTTCCTTCGTTCCTAGCCCTTTTGTGAGTGTTCTAAGCTTGGTGGTGTCATTTCAAGGTAGCAAAGGAGAAGAAGAGTCCATTGTGAAGGCTAGAAGCTGGTGTTCAAGTGTAGATCCGGGCTTAGCAAAGGTTGGAGCTTCTTTCTAAGGTAAAAAGTTCGGATCTTGACTTGTAGATCTTGTGGTATGCTTTATGGACCATTTTCTAGGGTTTTAGTCCCAAAGGTGTAGACTTTATGAGCAAGTGGTCTCCATTAGCTTAGATCCATCATATTTCTGGTCCATTTGAGTTGTAGATCGATAAAAATGTAATCTTGGACGTGAATGATTAGCCATGCATGAGATCTAGATCCTTGAGTTGAAATGGAAAGGTGTTAAGGAGTGTAAGAGCCTTTACAGCCATGCCAAGGCTTAAAGGTTCCGACTTTATGAGTAAGGATGCTTAAATAAGGCCGGATCTA